CAGCAGCCAAATGTTAAGGCTCGCGGTTAGCGTAGGAATGGCGAGAAACCAGCTCAAGTGCCCGCTAGCAATTGAAGGCTACGCAGCCGGAAAAAATCTGCCCTTCTTCAGACTTCCTCACAGAGCCCTCCTCCAACCACACACGAACGCGCACAGACCAATGAGGGCCACGAGATAAGTTTGTGCACAGATGGAAGGCTGACAGGCCAGGTAGGCCATCCAGTTATTTTAGGCCGGGCGGCTCAGATGATTGGTGCTCGCTGCCTTTTTTACAGCCGCCCACGGGCCTCCACGCATGATTGATGATTTTTTATATATTTATTGGGGGTCAAATCATTTTAATATATTAATTGCTACCGGGATGCCTTCAGAGCATTCCATGGAATATTACAAAAGTGCTTTTCTGCAAGTGAATTACCGTGTGTATATATATATATATTATAGTATATATACCTTTTTAACGCTGAATGTCAAGCTTTCTTTTTACAGTGTATTTATATCTGCTACATTTATTTTCAGTTTGCTTCAAGGAGTGCTCTTCAACAGACAGACATGCAGACCAGATTGGGAAAGGCTGGGACGGCTACACAAGGAACAAGGCAAAAACACTTTCTTGGATTGCCTTTTTTTCTTATCATACATAGTGCTTACTGGCTTTTATGTTACCATTAAATATTGATTATCATTTATTACTTTTAGGTTTAAATCAAATGCACCTGCCGTTTTTTTAGATAAAATATTGGTATTTGGATGTATCAGGTTGATTTGCAGCGTTTGGTGTTGTTTGTATAGCATTTATTGTATTGTTACTGCTGATTTTATTATATTAACTAGCCGATTTATTGCTATTTATGTAATTAAAATACTTGTTTATGAAACACGATACAATGTCTTTATTTTTGGCTGAATACCAGAATACAAGACACAGGAATCTTGTAATAGTATTTATGTCTCTGCTGTGGTAAATAATCATACCAGTATTTAAACAATGTCATGCTGGGGTCACCTTGAATCCTGGCTAAGCTTCCAGAATGGACTATTTAGATACTATATTAAACATAAGCTGGTGATAGATGGTATGATCGGTTTTTTTTGCTGGCAGGATGGCTGGTTTAGCTGGCTTAGCCTGGTGCAGCTAAGCAGCACTAAACCAGCCATCCTGGCCAGCTAAAGTGGTCCAAAACCCTCTAAACCAGCCAACCATTCCAGCCTAATATGTACTGGCTGGTCAGGCTGGTCAACTCAGTTGGTCTAAACTGGTTTTTTCAGCTGGGGGGGCAGCATAGACAGGTATTTTCTGTGTTAGAGTTTTACTCGCTACAGGGTGTACTTTGAGGTTTTGTGACTTGGCAGACCGTTTACGTGCAGAAAAAGCTACATATTACACAAGGGGACAGGTAATAACCGGAAAAGTATGACGTGGGACCTTTAACACTACCCCTGCCTGCTGCAGAGGTCCCTGCAGTGGTTAATATGTAAACTCTGCACGAGTGTGGATGGAGATGCCTAGAGGAACATTGGCCTCTGATAAGCTGGACTGCTGAGTCACTGGACACACAACTGGACAACTTCAGTCACCTGCCAACGGCTCTCCAAATGTCCTGACAGAAGCAAATCACCACACTGTGGATTATTTTGACTTTTCTACCTCTTTTCAACGTTGCTTTATTCATTTCTTCTTGTTTCAAGATTAAACCCACGGTTGTCCTCCAAAAGTTTGATCCAAGTGGCCAGCGTTCGGAGGATGTTTTGATGGTCTTCCAACAGAGTAGAGTTTTGTTTCTGAAGATTTCTGGACCTGAAGATTTCTGGACCTCAAACTTTTTCTTAAGGCCTAGTATCTGCTCATCTTGTTGAAGATGGACAGTAAGAGTGATGGTGCTAGGAATCAGCTTCTTCATTTTGACCTTCATATTGACGAACATAAGCCTCATAAAGGAATCCTGGATCTCCTCGGCAGACTCCGTCCTAATTGGGATGCACAGGACATTCAGATGAAGGCAAGTGTATATACTTATATTCAATAAGTGTGTAAAAGATGCACTTTCTCAACAGCATTATCTGTTTATGATTGCTTGCCATTGGTTGTTAGGTTGGTTTACTAAAACTTGGTTGTTCACGATCACTGCTAATCCTTGTATTGCACAGAAAAACACTTCTCAGTTGTTAGAACTCTTAGTTGGATAGTGTTCATCTTATTGGGTGTTCGTTCATTAGATAGCCCTTATTAGATTTGAGCTACGTGAATTAGATTAGGAAAAACTTGACAAACTCGTAGACCTCCCAACTCTACTTTCTATTACTGCAACTGCGTAGTTAATGATTGAAGGTTTCCAAGTTTTGTTGAAAGCGCTGGTTGTTAGGATGCCATCCAAGCTGCACAAGGTTTATTTTAGACATCTGGAACATTTATTATTGGGATCCATTAATCATATTTTGTTTAAATAGTCAAATGGTTTTGATTGACCACATTAAGGTTTGGTTTACTGAATCTTTACTGTGCAACTCTAACCTAGATGTTAAGTCCCCCTTTATGTCACATGACATCTCAAAATACATTTAGTTGACATTGTCACTGCATAATATCACTGACATTTGTGAATACTGGTAGTTTCTGTCCTTCTGATTGTGTTTGAGTCTTCACACAATAAGCCGCACTGATGAAATATGAGTAAAGGAAGATGTGCAGTGGTGGAACTTTGAATTCAATATTATTTCCCTACACTTGTTTTCATAACACCTCCATTCATCCAAGGTAGACTTGTTGTGCTCACAGGGGATATAAGGTGGACTTCATGCTGTTTCACTCTTTGTGTTAATATAATTTGAGCAGTTCCACGATCAATTTCCCCCATGGCTTCCTTCAAAAGATGCTTCCTAAACCATAGTGAACTTGTTAAATGTTATTGGAGACATCTTTTGCAAATTGCCATCTTGACTGAGGATTCTGTGACATAAAACTGAACTTCTCTGAAGAGTAGACCGTATTGTATGCATTTCCCAGGCATGGTTCCATGTTTTTCTTCTCACTTTAATTCCACAAAGAAGACCGTACGCCGCTGTTCCCTCTTCTTGTCAACACTGTTAAAGATACAGTCTCTTGTTCGAATAAACTTGATTCAAAATGCCAACAAAAAAATCAATATGCAGCCAGGCGCAGAAGCTGTTTTGTTTGAGTTAACAAACCTGAAGGCTCATAAAAAGTGTCTGCCCAGATTAACTTTACCCGCAAGTGCTCATGTGGGCTTAGTGTTTCAGGACTTTGTGGGTGTGCACCTGTTACTGGACAGAATACTCTTCTATGATTGGCTGTGCTGAAATTCACTCTTCAAGCATCATGTCTTGTTACATATAAAAGCATAATCAACCAAAACAAGTTATATCACCTTTGTTGGTGACTGAGTAACTTGATGCCAGATCACATAAAGTGTGCTGTGTGATTATTGTAATTTATTTTAAGTGTTATTTTTAAGTCTATAGGAATTCATACGTACATTTATATGTTGGATAATACTGACAATACACGTTTCATTTAAAAACAAAATCATTTTCAACAAAAGTATGGAAAATCTACATTTTTAACTTAAAGAGGACCTATCATGCTAAATGCACTTTTTGATGTCTTTTATACATAAAGATGTGTCCCCGGTGTGCCAGGGAACTCACGCAGCGTCAGAAAATAAAACCCTCTCTCTTTTCCTCCGTACCCAAATCTCTAAAAACGGGGCTACAACGGAGCTGATCCAGATTTGCGTCCGATATGACGTAATATCTGAAATGTAGGCTGGCTTTACACCCACGGCCCTATCAGAAACGTTGCTATCAGAAACAATGCCCGACTGTTTTGGACGTAATATGGTCGGTGTTTACATTAGCATCACTAACACTCAGAGCTAACCTGTACTGGAGAGCATGTGTGTGAAGAAGCAGGAAATAGAAAGGAACTCACCTTGTGGTATAACCGGCAAGAGAGAAAGCCTTTGAGCTCCATACTGTTTCAGAAATAATCCTTGATAATCCATGATATGGCGTTTCATCACGGCAGTATTTAGTTTAGACAATAGCTGCCGGGTCCCGCATGAGCTCAGCCCCTCCTTTTTTTATTCTTTATCAATTTTTTTTTTTTTTTAAACTTTATACCCCAAATCAGCACTTTTGAAACAGGAAGTGAAACAGAGTGATATGAGGCATGGCTAGAATCAAGCCCCCAGGAAGTGCTCCGGACTCTGTTCCCACAATTCGTAGTGTCCAAACGGCGGTACTGCAACTTCCGTATCAGTCCGTGATGTCCCTGGGCCCGGAAATACTTTTTCCCATTGACGAACATGGGGAAAGAGTGGTCTGTAAATTGTTGGATAATTTAACCAAATAAACTACCCAGTATGAACATTTGTATAGCCCTTATTAGGTCTATACATTAGATCCTCAAGTTGTAAAATGTGCTAATAACGTTATTCTGAGAGTTATTTTCCTCTGCATTATGAAGGCGCATCTAACCCACGGGACGGCTTGATGTGAACGAGCCTTTTGTGGGACGTGGTTAAAGTTGCGCATGCTCTATGAGCGCACATATGGGTACTTCTCAGGCGTGACGGGTAATCTGTGACGTTTCGCTCTCTCAAAAGTTGGGCCATTTTGACTTCATGCGCCAATGAGCAACTCATAGGAATGAACGAGGCCCCGCCTCCCACGCTGTATCCAGTTCTCATTATACATCCATGGCTAGAATGGGTGATCTGTTTGGTATTTTGAGCAAAACACTTCATAGACATGTTTTTTATATTTTTTTATATATCTGAGACCTATGCTATTGCCTAAAAATACCATGATAGGTGACCTTTAAGCATGCAAGGTCATGAAATGGTAGTGACAGTGAACTTGATCCATAGATTTACCCACTGGGCAAGGAGTGGAAAACCAGAGTCTGGAGAGGTCAAATATTATTATTATTATTATTATTATTATTAATAGACTAACATTGTTCGTTTTTTATCTATTCATAGAAGTTTTTGATGTTAACAAGACTTTCGAATATTGCCAGCATTATGCTTTTTAAATTGTGACCATGTTTTAAGGCCACAGCAAACCAAACCATCATAGTCGCCTGTATCTTGGTCAAAAAGTCTAAGTTGAACACATTGCAAACCAGCAGATTGTGGTAGTCTGTATTAAGGGGATAGCTAAGACTGCAGATATTTACGATTCCTTTATTAATACAAAGCTACATTTTCCCAACCATTTCCAAAGCACTCTCTCCCTTTGCCAAGCTTCAGACAAGTCAGGTCATGTCATTGTCAAAATACAACGATCAAGATGTCCTCTTGACCTAAGTAGTTTGCTTGTTTCCATCAATGTAGTGTTTCTACTTGTGCACTGATTCGCTCAAACTTAAAAGTCCTCTCAGAGCCACGGCTAACCGAATAAAAATATACTGTATGAGTAAGTGGTAAATCATGTGATGACCAAGAAATGTTCAGTATGAAGTGCAGAGATTGACTGATCTTGGTGTGTGCATGGTGGCCTTACAGTACAACTAGCCGATGTTTTGAATTGTTATAAATTGAATCGGACGGATACTGTACATTAAGAGCATGGTGATAAAATGTAACACAAAACTCAAATGTCTCATCTTGCCATATGTATAAAAAAAACGGTATGAAACCAACAGAAAAGCCAAGGTAATCTCATAACAAAAGTAGACGGTTTTTATTTTATCAACCCTGGGAACAGATGCGTAGTGTTGTCGGGGAATCTGACAGGACAATCCCATTCTGGTCCCATGTGCAAACACAAGGTCCAATCATTCAGAGAAATAGGGTTTATGTTTGTAAGGTGACAGCACATTGGGTGAGTGACCTCTCAATCTACACAAGGTCCAGCCGTGTACACAAAGACTGGATGTCTCCCTTCAGCCTCAGGTCCCAAAAGTCCCTTTTAATGATGTATTGTGTTCGTCTGTTTGGAATATATGAAGGGAAGGACAGATAGTTCCCACTGTGACACCTGTGCCTTACATTTGTATGCAGAGATTTTATTTCAAACTACCAACTTGTATTTTCTATTTATTTCTATTTTACTACCTTTCCTTTCCTTTCCTTCCTTTTTTGAAGTTTTTACTATGCAATAATATGTGTTTATTGGAATTACCTTTATTGGGAGCCTCTATTTTGCAAAAGTTTTCATAATTTTTTTTAAATATTAAAATACGTTTTATTGTGACTCTGAAATAAAAGACTATCCAAGATCTACAGAAGAAAAATTGCCACTTGGCTAACTCTCGCGCATTTATGTCAATTTTTATAAAAGTGCACTATCCCTGTTAAATAATTGAATAAATAAAAAATATATATATTTTAATAGTTTTTCTATTGATAAGACATTAGATCAAATGTAGGGCTTGAAGGAACAAAGGAATATAAGTTAACATAGAGATGTTTTTAAATGAAAGAGAAAGCGCTTTTAAATATGATGAATAATTAAAACACATTTATGAACTGATTGGCAAATGTATAGGCAATCCTCAATATGTGCCTTGTTTTACCCCGTATAAAATCAGGTACACTGTAATCTAACATTTCTTTGGGTAGAGAAAGGCCATAACAAAGATAAGAATAAGGACACTTTGTTTTGAAATGACCATAAAGGAATGATATCAAGGAAATCGTAGTACAGTAAATCTGAAATTTTGCCCGTGTAAAGGTATAATAGAAGATACATTGATAGCAGTGTCCAAGCCAGTGGAAAGTAAGTGTCCCTTCATCCTCCACATAAATACTTTATCAGATGTCAAGGTGGGCATGTTTGTTCGCTTTCCATCTAAATGAAGAACTGTTGGCTCCTCTCCGAGGCTCAGGGAAAGCCGTAGAGACTGTGGAGAGAATGAGAGACTTAGAGAAACCACTGAATGACAACAGACGCCCGATGGGGCCTCTGCAGGCAAACAGTGGTGACTGTGGTATTGTTGTGCATGCACACACACAAACACACACACACACACACACACACACACACACACACACACACACACACACACACACTCACACTCACACTCACACTCACACTCACACTCACACTCTGCAGCTCTGCATCAACGTCATCATGCTGTTGGATGTGCTGTGAACACCTGTATCGTCTTTTCTGATTTTATGTCTAATTGTACTTTCATTTTATTTCATGGTTGTGTTTCTTTGTTGCAGTCCCTCTGCAAGGCAAGGCCAGGGCACTCGTTTATAAAGCAGGACCCTTCTGGGTTAAAATTGTACTTCATTAAAAACAAATCAAGTCAGAATTCTGAGATTTGCAGATTTCTTTTCTTTACACCTTTTTTTTTAACTTCATAATTCTGTAAACCCTGGGATCAAAGTCCGAATTCTGAGATATTGTGAAGAAAAAAAAATATATATATTCTAATTGAACAAGAACAAAGAAAACAAAAACACTTTTTTTCTCTCAGGAAACTGGCTTCATCTAAAAAATTAAAAAACTTCACTTTTGGTCGGATCGCAACAAAGCTTTCACATTTGATCCACGTTTTTTTTCTTTACACGTTTTTTTTAATCTTTAGAATTCTTTAGACTCTTGGATCAAAGTCAATTCTTATTTAACAAGAACAAAGAAAGCAGAAAAAAAAACTTTGGGAAAAAAATATTTTCTATTGATTTTTATTTTTTCCAGAATTCCAACTTTTTTCTCAGAATTCTGGCTTCAATCTAAAAAAAATAAATAAAATGTTGGTCATATCTCCAAACTTTTGTTTTACATTTGGCCCTAATCATCTTTATTGGGAATTTCCCTTGTGATCTCCTCTCCAGAGGTTCACAGAGGGCATCACCAACCAGCTGATGGGCTGCTTCGTGGCGCCTCTCCAGGAGCCCGGCTGTGTTCTGGTGCGGCTGTACGGCCAGATGACGGAGCTCTTTGTGAACCGGGACCGGGAGCTGGAGATGTTTCAGGTCCTTCACGCCCACGGCTGCGGGCCGCAGATTTTCTGCAGCTTCCAGAACGGCATCTGCTACGAGTTTGTGAGAGGAACCGTGCTGGAGGACGAGCTGCTGCTGCAACCCTCCATCTACAGGTCTCTGCCAGCAGCTCTCACACTCTCATGTGGTTCTGTTGTGAGGTTGATTTGATCAGAGAGCGTGTGCAGAGGCTTTGGGAAGGGCCTGGTTCATATTTCACTTTCACAGTTCTCTCACTCCCAGCTTTAAACTACACTATGATGATCATTGTATAGGAATTTGGCCTTAAAAGAGATAAAATGTGATTTCTTCAGAATTCACTGTTTGAGAGTTAAATCTTAAACAAGTCATGCTGACATTTCAAAGAAATTCTAAAACGCCATTAACATTTAGCAGTTTTTGGCTTGCTATAATGATTGTGCTATTTGATGAAATACACCCTTTTTTTTTAAAGAAGAGAATATGTATATATATACTGACTATACATGTTCTTATTTTCCAGAATAAAAGCACTGAAAGAACATCAAAAGCATGCAATAAATACATAATTAAACAAACAAAGATAGATGTTATCAGCAATCCACTTCACATTTTACCACGCACTGAAGCTTTATTCTGTTCAGCGAAAAAAAAATTAAAAATGTGTTTTTGTAAAGATTTTATTCCTTCAACACATTTGCCAAAGGATCGTTATTAATGAGTTATTATTGCATAATTATATGAAAACAATGTGTTGAGTCACAGTCAGAATGATATTTACACTAATGTAGGCTACTGATTTTAATTTCACTCTAAAAGTTGAAGCATAATATCGTAGTTAAGATATATTTTACCACAGCTTCATTGACTGTGAATGCTAGCCAAAATGCTTTCTACAATATCATAGAGAAATTCCCATGAAGATGCCCATAGCTATTTCCCCCAGGTCCATGCCGTGGTCAGACTGTATACATTCTTCAGGTTTATTGAAAGAAATGTGAAACGTTGACCATTTGTTTTCTAAGAAAACAGTCAGTGGTGGTTCAAGGTCATGTGTTTATATGTTGAGCCTTTCAATTGTGCTAATGCAGGTGTTTTTAAATAACTTAAGTTTAGTTTGTTTGTTTAGTCATGCCCCCGGTTCCATTCATCACCCTCATGATAACAGTCCAGCATCATTATTCTCAGCAGAGGACAGTAGGACAGCCAGGGCCGTGATACGCATCCATCACCCCCCCCCCCTGCTGATACCCTCTGTGGGGAGAGCCCAGAAAACTTTATGTCACCACTGAGATCCTCAAGAACGAGCACTCAAGTAGTCAAAAGGTCACGGATGCAACAAGGCCCATTTTTTGAGAAGAAGAAGGAGATAAGGAGGCTACATGGAAAGGGAGTTGTGTTTCTCCTCTGATAATGGTTGTTTGTGCAATAACAGCGTCGGCCAAGGCTCATCGGAGAAAATGTTTTCTCTCCGCAGATTGATCGCAGCAGAGATGGGGAGAATCCACTCCATCCAGCCAAAATGTGGTGCGCCTGCTGAACCTCTCCTCTGGACCAAAATGTCCCACTTTCTCACGCTGGTGCAGAGCTACAGCAGCTCAGAGGAGCTGCGCGGCACAAAAAGGTACTGCTGTGTGGACAAAATCATATATATCATATATCATATATCATAGACCAGACTTCTCAAAGTGTTTTAACGGTTGTTGGAGAGGCGCCTGAAATAAGGTCTTAGAGAGATGTTATACAGAAATCAGAGTAAAAATCAGAGCATTGCAGAGCATTCTCTCAGCTACTATTACAACTATGTTAAGCCCATTTGAACACATCATGTTATGTGTGGGAGCACTCATGTCAGAATCATTCTCACCAGTCCCTATCGTACAAAGTCTAAATAATGATGTAGGAGCCAATGTTTGAATAGAGCCGCTCATTGTCCAGAGAATTTGTGGCGCGCAAGTTTCTCTCGCAGTGGCCTTGAAACCAAAGAAAACAAACATCCGATGGTGAGGAATAATGGTTACTTTTAAGGAAAATGCAGACAAAAATGTCTAATTCTAAGAAAACGAGATTCTTGAACATCTTTTGCAGGTGGTCGAAATCCTCAGACAAGTTGAAGGAAAGGCTAGATACTTCTTTACATAAATAACCAAACAGGCTATGTTACTGTAATCAGCGTCTTATCCTTGAAGGACATATTTTAACCTGTTAAGCCCTGAGCCTGTTTTTCAGATCTCAGGCTCGAAAATGACATTCCCAGAACAAATGACTATGTCTTCCCTTTTAAAAGCTTTAATCAAATATCTTGTTTGTGCAGTTAGGATAAGTAATAAGGGTATTTTTGACCTTGAGTTCTGTGCTAAGTGCGTTAGCATTTTTTCGCTCAGGGCTAATTTAGACGCTTCTTGTGAGACTTGTGCTTTGTTTCGGTAAAAATTGTTCATATCTTCAGTTGGCTGAGTTTCTAACCGTTAAGTGAGTATGACACATTAATACATTTTTAAATATTAAGAAGCCCTGGGACACATTTTCGTGAAAAAACTACCCGCCAGACCCGGATTAGGGGCCTCTCGGGTTTAACAGGTTAAATAGTTTAAAAAGATTCAAATGAGCGAGCTGAAAACATTTCAAAGATGGTAATTTCAACAACTCATGGACTTTAAACCAGAAAAATCAAAGTTAGCCAGAATGTAATCATTTCATTTTGGCAGGTCTTAGTGAATGGTCAACCGTCCCAGTGAGAAGAGAGCTGTCAATTATCTGCTTTTGTGGAAATGACATACGTGTTAAATAAATACCTATCGACCCTCAGTTGGGAGGATACAGGACCTCAGTAGTAAAACAGCTCAGCAGCAGATTTCTGCAGTCATCGCTCTGACAGAAACCAGCAGCATTTTCCACATCTTTATCTCTTCGGCAGGAGCACTTCCACTGATGCCTTATCATTTTCTCACATGCCATATGCACATTTCTCAAAGCCGCTGCTGTCCACCCATATATTGTCTTTTTGAAGTTACTGCCGGTGCTGGACTTTCACATTCACCTCCGTCACCTTGTGGATGGAGTTCTTCACTGCGAGCCGTGATTGGTCGGAGAGACGAGGTGGGGGCGGGGCTTGCATGGCAGTGTCATTGCTTTATCTCTGTCAGGGGTCAGAGGTGAGATGGGCCTTCGAGACACTACAAAGAAACAGACGCTCGGGCCACAAGCTTCCTGCAGAGCTCCTCTTATCAGTCAAACGTTCAACTTTGTTTATGTGCGCAGCCGAGGGGTCGGAAGTCCACGCAAACTCAAACTGGAAGACTCAGAGTCTCTGAGCCGCTGCTGAACAACTGGGTTTCTTTTCATTTTGGCAGAAGGAGTTTGGTACTAGGGTAAAAAATCAATTCAAGGAGGGAAGGTGGAGGAGACTTTATGATAAGGAGTTTTTTAGCTTCCTGGATTCAGAAAGATGAAAGCATTTAAGAGATTTAAGAGATGAAAATCCAATCATATCAGATCAAAATGTTGATTGATACAGCCCTTTTCATCCCCTAAAGATAACACAAACAAAGTGCTTCACAAACCAAAACGTTTAAATAAACTAACCCCCCTTTCACAAATGGAGTAACACAAAAGGTTCTGATTGATAAAAACACTTAACTCCATGACTACTTTGTCAACAGGAAGACAAGACACAGTCAACTATTCTCACTCTACGTACATATGTTCTGCCCGTACCACTTTACAATAAGACTACCCTTATACATGATTCATAAAGGGTTTATAATTAGGTTATTAATTAGATTGTAAACACTATTAATCATTAAGAACCATTTATAAACCAGTTCTAACATAGGTGCCTACATCAACACAGGCTCACTATTTGGCAAGAGGACTAAGCCTTATATTGGCTACTTAGCGAGAATCAACTCAGTGAACAACAGATACCAAGGATGCTGACTGATGAAGAAGACAAAGTAATCTAAGTACCCAATATAAGACTTAGCAGTACAGATAAATGTGGACTCACTATTTGGCAAGAGGACTAAGCCTTATATTGGCTACTTAGCGAGAATCAACTCACTGGGTGTTTCTCAATCTCGAGTAAAGCTGCTCCAGAGCCACTATTTCAAGCACACTTCGTCATCGAGTGCCGCCGAAGGTCTGTTCCAATGTCCAGCATACTTGGAATTCTACCGAGCCCGGCGTACTTCGTAGTGAGAAATTACGAGGCTGCACATGTGTAGACTCCGCGGTCTTAAAATCCCCACAATGCTTTGCGAACGGACCAATTTCCCCAAATCTGTGGCGGAAAATGTAAGGCGGGGCCTCTCATATGAAGCACACCTGCACACTTGCTCGCCTGTTCCACTCTTCGTTTTCCGAATGCCAGGAAGTATTCTTGCCTCGCTTATGAAGCAAGTGACTCGGAAGACATGTGCTACCAAGCAAGCGTGCTCGACATTGAGAAACACCCAGTGAACAACAGATACCAAGGATGCTGGCTGATGAACAAAGTAAGCTAGTTAGCCAATATAAGACTTGGCAGTACAGATAAATGTGGGCTCACTATTTGGCAAGCAACCGGTCACAGTTGCCCTGTTTATCTCATGACTTATAAAAGCTTATTAATGATTTATAAAGTGTTCACAACCTAATTAATAAATTAATTACAAACTATTTGTAAAGCCTTTATAAGGGTAGTCTAAGTGGTACCGTTCTGCCTTGTAACTATTTATCTATTAACACATCATTTTATAATGCACTTCCACAACTTAGCACCATTAGTAGTTTTTTTTTTTATAGACAGAAATATCCAGTTAAATGAAATAAATCCATAATATTGATAGTGTTTTCAGTGAAATAGCAATAAGCATTAAAACAAACTTAAAATACCTTCTACTCTAATCTGATTTTGATATTCAAGAGAAATCCAACACGCTATACAGTACGCAATGGACGGCACAGAGTTATATGGAGCATTGAGAAGTATTTGACATACATAGATAATTGTACGTTATTAACCCACGTCAACATGTAAATTAAAGTTTATTTTCTTTTAAAATTCAGTTAAGAGAACGTTTTTTGAGCATCAAAAGTTATTAGAAAACTCCACTAATTAGTGCAAAGAGCTATTTTTAATACAAACTCAGAGTGTGACTAAATCAGGATAATTCTCACCATAATATTCATGTGAAGAAGGAGGCTGCACCACATTCAGAGGCCCAATAGATGGTGCTATATTGTGAGACATTTGTGTTGCTCGAACACAGCCGTGCAGAACACTCAAAATGATTAGGAAAATATCATTTAATTAAAATTATATTATAAAAAGTGTTGGAAAAGGAAAATAAAGTCAGAAGATTTTAGATTGAAAATATGATATTTACGAGGTTAATCTTAAACACTATTCAGTAGTCTCTTGAATGTAACACACACACACACACACAC